TATTTCTTAAATTCATTTTCTCGATATTGTTATTGTGGGAGCATATTCAAGACATAAAAAGTAGATAATAATTTTTTCAGAATCAAGCACTCATAATCAATAATTCTTATTCGAAATATCAAGAGCCATGAAATCAAGTTTATGAGGTTTGATATGATAAAAATTCTATAATGTAATATATAATAATAATATTAGAAAATAAGAACAAACATAATAATAAAATTAAAACTTTTCAAACAACATATATTAGATCATTAGATTCTATATATTAAATCATTTAATTTTTTCCAATGAGTATTCTATATATCATTATATTTAAAGTACATGATAAATTAGATACATACCTCTTAATGATCTAAATAATTTAGATATTTTGGTAGAGCACTTGTGTAGAAGAAATCCAATAGTTGAAACAATTGATTAAGTCTTTTGATAGATACATACCTCATGGTCTATTGTCTCGATTAGTTAGAGCTTCGTACCGATAACGTGTTATAAAAGAAATGGAAATAACGAGGAGAATTGAAGAGAAAAATGATGAAGAAATGATTTCACTATACGAGAGAATATAAGAGATAACAACTCTAAATAATTCTCACAATCTCTACAAAATGCTTGTACACCAACTAATGAACAATCAATCTTATTTATAGGCTTCAAATTTGAGAAGAGAATTGGAAGGAACTATGAAAAATCAATTGCATCATCTTTTCAATTTCTCATATTGAATGATGCATTGAATCATATTAAGAATCATGAGTAGTGGGGATATGAAAAGTAGATGAACATGATGATGGACATTCATTATTTTATAATATTGTTGATATTCTCGATAATTAATTTTCCTTACCGATGAATAAGTTTGCGAATCTCTCGTAGAAAAACTTTTTTATCCGTTTTTTATGTGATATTAGACATGAATTGTTTTTAAACTAAAAAAAAAAAAAGACTCTCAAAATCGATTAAAATTTGGCATACTCCGACACTAATCTAACGTAGAAAATTACGAATTTATTTTTTATTAATATCAAGATTGGTTCGAAAATATCTCACAACCTATAAATATTAAAAAAATAAAAAACACTTGTTATATATAAATAATATAAATAATACTATACAAATAAACTTTTTTATACAAAATTTTCACATAAATATGCGTGGCAATTGTTTTTTCTTTCCCATAAATACCTATCATTTAAATTTATGGAATCCACATTTTACTATTCATATACCAACACATTAATTTATATAAAAATTTTGTTGTATATCATTTTTAATTATATATACCGAATTAGATGATTTGTAGAAATTACATATTTTCTTGAGATCTATGAGTAAACCCTAATTAGATGACTTGTGGACTAGCTGTACCAATTCTGAAAAGAAATACGTACCTTTTTTCTCTACATGGATGCACCTACGTCCCAACCATAGCTTTTGTTAGGCACCTCTTTTCTTTTGGGGACACATATTAGGCTTACATGATACATCATATGAAAAGGTTATGAAATTTTGGACATGGATGGTCCTATATATCTTTATCGACCACTTCTACGTACCTTTTGCATTCTTAATTAGGTCAAGTACAGTAACAAGTAACAATAGATCCAACAAAAGCTATAAAGGACCAAACAAAGGGAAGGGACTCCAAATTAAGTAGGAATAATTCTATTGGGCTAGCAATGTGCACGAAGGATAAATTTTCCAACGTGATGCAGAAGAACTCCTAACATTTCTGTCCCAATTTTCTACCTAGGTTTGAAGGCATGGTTATCAACTGTAGCACCATTCACCGACAACAACTTCTTCTTGTGTAGATTCTCTTACTATAGGCTTGGGGTCAATTTAGTTTTCCCTTCTCGTTTGTGAACTGGAACCAGATCGAATAGAAAATTTTCATGGCATTAACTCAAGCAAATATTTGGTAGATTTCTGTGCTCAGCTTGTTTTCAGAACTTGGAAAAGAAGTTAATTTGAATTTAAGATCATGAAATTTTACAATCTGAAGGCCTCTCATCCAATTCACAGTTTCCATATATTTAACAGATTATGACATGATTGATGGGTAACCGCTTATTAGAAATATGAAATATTATTCATTCATGACGACTATATATAAAATATAAAAGTATGAACTCTTTTAAAACTTTTTATTGATGATTATATCCTTAAAACAATACTAATATTATAATATAAGTAAATTCATTCTCTTCTCTATTTAAGAAACATACCAATATTGTTAAAATTCTTAAAAAGAAAAAATATTAATTCCTCAAATAGGCCATTTTTTAGAATGAAATGAATGCATGCTAAAATATATGTTAATCCTCTTTTTTAGTATTTTCTTATTTATAAACCACATAAAATCATAAATAAAATAAAGTAAATTATTTAAATCATTCTTAAACTATATAGTATGCATGTTAATACTTTATTTTGACTATCAAAATTCTAAAAGAACCTAAAAAAAAGCCAATAAAAAGAATAATGTATTAAAATTTAAAAGTAATTAAATTATATTAAAATTCATCAAGTTATTACATTGAATCTTTAGTTATTTTATATAAGCTATTTTTGTTTATTTTCTTTCGTCGTGTTCTACTCTTTTGGAAAACACTAATGATATTAAAAAAAAAAAAAAAGACAAGAATTTAAAAATAGGTTTTACCTAACTTTTATTCATGTCTATATTGTTAATTACGTCACATATACTTGAAAATAATTGTTTAACTTTAAAATATTCGTAATAATTAATATAATGTTAGATGAAAATTTTTTAGCAGTTATTATTTTTAAGAGTTATATATATTTATCTTAACTATAAATTGTTGAGTTTTGAAATATAATTCAAATTTTGTCCCAAATTTTTACTCAAATCCAATTAAAAATTATTCTTTATGGTTCAAAAATTTAAAATTTTAATTTAATTATAATTTAAAGAATATTATAAATTAAAAAAATATTTATTTAATGAATAATTTAAATTTATTTATTTATAAATAATTTTAAATAATCTTTTTTTTAAATTACTACTCGATGCGCGTGCCAAGGAACTATAATGTTAAAGTTCTCAAATGACTAAGAAGGCTAGCTCTCCCACATGAAAAAAACAAAAACAAAACAAAAAACGAACGAGTTTGAGAGTCAAAGAATAGAATTGGGATCCGATTGGAATAAACGTTTGCGGTAGGTACGGGGAATCTAGCATGTATCCTTCAGGAAATGAGATATCAGATATTTTGCTCGATTATTTAAACAAATAGAAGACTGTTGAAAGAGTGGAATTTTTTGGACGGATTAAGAATATTCAACTGATCATCAATTCTTTTCTTCGGCCCCTATGTTAGAATGGACGCTCACTTTTTATATTAATCTAAGTGGAAATCTTTAATTTAGTTCTTAACGCATTACCTAATCAACAATTATTCTAAATGTTTTAATTTTATCATTTTCACTCTAAAGATAATAAACATTAAATAATATAATTATTTTTTCTTTCATCTATTACTATTGACAAACTCAAGCGATTAAAATAATTTATTAAATTTGTAAATGATTTTTACGTGTTCGTTAAATACTTTCATCAAAAGAGTCAGAAATAATTTTTCTTCTACTCCAAATCACATTTTAGCACTAAAGTTTATACTAATAAAGTGAAGAGTTACTTAATCTGATTTGAAGCGAAATTTGTCTTTTGAGATAGATTTGAGAGTATTTTGATGCCTTAAATTGAAGCACCTAATGATTACATACAAATTGGATGAATTTTCTTCTAACCCCACTATCAATGAATAGATGATGAATGTGTGACATTGTGATGAGGTTTGAGGCAAAATAAAGAAAAGTAAAAGATTTATGATTTAATTGATAATGAGGTTTGAATATTGCACATCTGAATACCACAACTTTTGTTCAAGCATGACAGGTTTGAATATCACAACTTGTTTTCATGCATGCCTTAAGAGGCTTAGAGCTTATCATGCGTTTTAGTACCCAAAAAAAGAAGCTGAGAGAGAGAAACCGAAGACCCCATCAAAATGACATCTTATTTATCTGTTAGCACATTCAAAATGACACCACATGCTTCACTGCGGAAATGTATAGAAATCTGACAGGACAGGTGATAGAAAAAATAATATCATGTGATCACAAGTCGAAGAGATTAATTAATGATAATGTACTAACCATCTATTGCAATGCCTTAGTGGCTCAAATTAATGGCATTTATCTACACTTCGTAAGGGAAAAAAATCTTATATTGTGACTTAATTCTATCTCGTTTACCGGTTAGTGATTTAACAGACTAATTAAAATATTTTCACAAAACAAATTTCCTCACAAAAACCAACTATTGTCCGATTATTAATGATCAAGAACCAAATTCAAGTATGTAAGCGAAATACAAAATGTTTATAAGAAGACTTTCGTGAGGAAATGATGGGAAAATTCATTCTCTGCGACTATAGTATTAGATTTCAGTTTTTTTTTTTTTTAAGAATTGAAAGTGAACTGAGAGGTAACTGATTTTAAATGATGTCAATTTTGGACCACTAAATGGAAAGAACATATGGATTTTCTACCGTCGTTTGAAGCACATCAATTATTTTTGTTGGAACTTTTCCATGTATATGCTTACACATTGCCAGGCAGAGGTTCTCTTACTTAGTCAATTTTTGTTCCTATTATTTGGGTCAAAATCAGTTCAGTATTAGTAGGAGTTTCTATTGATTTGTTGGAGAAGTTTTAGCTAGTTTGTTATTTTTATTACTATAAATTCAATATCAAATGTAGTCTGTCATGTGTCTCAAATAAAAGCAAGCAATTCATTCTTCAATTTCCCTTGCCTCTATTCTGCTTCTTCTTGCTCCTTTAGATTTTGTTACATGGTATCGAGCCTCACTATGGTTTTTTGTTTTTTTTTTCTTTCAATCTTCTTATCTATTAAGGGGTCTTGTTGGAGAAGATTGGAATGCATCGTAAGAAGATTCTTATTACGCATTATGGAGTTAGGCAATGGGGGTTCTTCTTCTTCCACACAAAATGGTGTCGAGAAGCTTGTTGGGACAAACTATCGGTATTGGAGAATGTGTATGGAGGCTTATCTCCAAGGTCAAGACTTATGGGAGTTAGGCTGTTGGTGCCAACACGAAATTCCAACGGACACTCCGAAAAATTTCGAACCACGAAGGAAGTGGAAGATCAAGTGTGGAAAGGCTTTTTTTTCCTTAAGGACATCAATTAGCAAAGACCATATTGATCATGTTTGTGATGTAAACTCTCCAAAACAAGTCTAGGATAGTCTTAAGAGGATCTTTACCAAGAAGAATACGAGCAAGATTGCAACTTCGGAAAATGAATTGATAATTTTGACACGAAGGTATGTCTATTTTAGAATATTTCTTATAAGTTAAGAATATTTATGCTGAAATTTCAGAATTGGATTCGGATGAGAAGATCGGTGAAGCTCGTCCGCGAAGGTTTCTCATTTGAGGCTTGAAGAAGGAGTATACGCCTTTTACTACTACTATTCGGGATGGTCGAATCAACCCTCGGTTGAAGAATTAGAGAATCTACTCTCTAATCAAGAGGGTTTGGCTAAACAAATGACCAAAACCTTGAAGTTAGAACCTAATGTTGTTCTTTATTCAAAAAGAAAGCAAAATGAGAAAGAGACATTGACTAGCAACACTAATGGTAAGAAAGGCTCGAAGCACGAAGAAGGGAAATGGATTGAGCTTTCAACGCAACGACTCCATCAAGTGTTATCGTTGCGGAAATATCGGACATATAAAGAAAAATTATCGAGTAAAGCTTTCCAAAGCTAGTCCTATGTGTGAAGATGAAGGAGATAATCATCTTAAATGGGAGCAATGTTTTACAACTAAAGTAGTTAAAGGAAGAGATGATTCGACGTTCGTGTCAACTCCGCCAAAGAGGAATGGATCATTGACTGCGGTTGTTCACACCATGTTACCGAGAATGCATCATTACTTTGAGATCTAAGACAACATAATGAAGAACGAGTAATAGTCACTCGCTGATAATTCAACTCATCCGAGTGATGAAGGAGGGCATTGCGAAAATTGATGATGATGCCAAAGGTAGCGATATCAAGCTCAATGATGTTTATCGTGTTCTAGGTTTAAAGCGGAATTTAGTTTCGGTTTCTCAAATTACCGATTCTAGGAAGTATGTCTTATTTGGTTCAAATGATGTAAAAGTACTTGATAATGTAAATCAAATAACAAGCGATGTTGTTGTTGTTAATAAGAAGAAAGGATCCTTGTTTGTTAAGTCGGCAGGGGAGGTATATATAAAGAAGACAAGTCAAATTGATAATGCGAGCAACTTGGCATGCTCGACTTGCCACTTAGGCTATCAAATGTTGTGGCAAATCTCTTCAAAAAGCTGTTGGAAGCCATCCCACCTCGCAAAATGTATATGAAAATATGATATGTCAAGGTAGTCAATTTGGCAAATCACATCGTCTACCTTTCATAAGGTCATTAAATCGAAGGCCAAGGCCACTCGAATTGATTCATACGGACTTGATAGGACCAACAAGAACACCAAGCTATAGCGGCTATCATTATACCATGCTTTGGTGGATGATTATTTCGGGTATACATGGCTGTATTTCTTGAAAGAGAAAAGTCAAGCTTTGCCTAAGTTTGATGAATTCAAGAATCGTCGTGGAGAAGGAGCTTAGAACCGGGATCAAGTGCTTGAGAAGTGACAATGGTGGTGAATAAATGTCGGATAATTTCTTTCGGTATTGTGATGAATATGGCATCAAACGACAAATGACATATCCTAATACCCTCAGCAAAACGGGGTTGCAGAAAGAAAGTTAACCCATCTCACTTCAACTACTCTTTCATGGCTACATGATAAGAACCTTCCTCGAAGGCTTTGGGAAGAAGCTTTTCACTGTGCATGCCATGTAATCAACTAATTACCTCCATGGCTAGGTAAAGAAAAGTCTCTTTTTGAGTTGATAAATGATATAAAGCCAAATGTAAATTACTTTCGAGTGTTGGGTTCTATTTGTTATGTTCATGTTCCTAAATCTAATCAAACCAAACTTGACTCGAAAGTAAAGAAATGTGTATTTGTTGGCTATAACACCCGTAGGAAAGGTTGGAGGTGTATGGACCGGAGACGAAGAGATTTGTTACATCTCAAGATGTGGTATTCGACGAAGTGTTAACATTACATTCGCGCGAGAAATTCAGCATTGAAAATGTTATTCTTGATGATGATCAAGATAACTTGATGGAGTTGTTTCCTCGAAAACACTATAGAGGCATCTCAAGACACTAATGATCATCCTACACTTCCAACAAAGGGTGACTCTAATTCGCTAAAATTCAGCGAGATAATAAGCAAGTCAACAAGGATAAAAACACCACCAGGCACACTTGAAGGACTATGAAGTTAAAATCAATCAATGCACGGTGGCATCATGCTTCCTTACTCGGGAATTTATTGATGAACCAACATGTTTCAAGGAAGCCAAGGGTTATTCGAACCGGGAAGCCACTATGCAAGAAGAAATCGATGCCTTACACAAAAATGAGACGTGGGAATTGGTGCAAAGACTAGAAAATTATGAGCCGGTCTCTTGCAAGTGGGTTTATCGACTAAAGAATAAAGCGAGATGGCACGGTTGACGGGTGTAAAGCTCGTTTGGTTGCTTATGGTTTTTCTCAAAGTTATGGACTAAACTATGAGGAAACTTTCGATCCCGTAGCTAAAATGGTGACTCGTTAGATCAATCGTTTCTCTTTCTGCCTTTAAAAGATGAAATTGTGGCAACTTGATATGAAAAATGCTTTCCTTTATGGGGAGCTAGATTGTGAAGTATTCATGAAGCATCCATAAGAATTCATCTCAAAGAAATTTCCTCATCATATTTATTGATTGAAAAAGGCATTAAACGGCTTAAAACAAGCACCACGTGCTTGGTATGGTAAAGTTGTTCAATACTTTATCTTTTGTGGATTCAAAGTTTCGGAATTAAATCATAGTTTGTTTGTGAAATTGAGTTCGAAGATGCATGTGCTAGTTTTATTGTATGTAAATGACATGATAATCACATGAGATAATGAAGCTGAAATTTCTCACCTAAGGGATGATTTGTCAATTTGTTTTGAAATGAAAATTTTGGGTGAGGTTGGACGTTTCCTTGGTTTAGAAGTGGAAAAACTCGATTAGGGATATTTTGTATCTCAAAGAAGCTATGCAAAGAGTCTTCAGACCGTTTTGGCATGGGGGAGTCAAAAGAAATGGCTACTCCCATGGAGCCATATCTCAAGTTGAAGAAAGAGGAAGGGAAGCCATTGAAAGATACCAAAAGTTTTCGTCGGCTTTTTGGTAGTTTAATTTATCTAACTATAACAAAACCGGATATTGCATATTCTGTTGGTCTTATTTCTCGGTTCATGCAACATCCAAGAACTCCTCACCTAGATGGTGCAAAAAGAGTTCTACATTATGTAAAGGGAACTCTTGGATATGGACTTTTATATGAAGGAGGTAATAATTTTGTGCTAAGTGGCTTCACTCGATACAAACTAGGCTTGAGATTTGAATGATCATCACTCAACTTCGGGCTATTGTTTCAGCCTTGGTTCAACTATGTTGTCCTGGTGCAGACAAGAAACAATCTACTATTGCTTTGTCAAGTACTTGAAGCGAGTATACAGCGAGCAACAAAGGTAGCACAAGAATGTATTTGGTTGAAACGGTTAATCGAAGATATCACCGGCAAAGTTCACTATCCTGTGCGGATTCATTGTGATAATGAAAGCGCCATCAAGCTTGCTTCGAATCTAGTTTTTCATGGACGAACAAAGCATATTGAAGTTCATCATGATTTTGTTCGAGAAAAAGTATTAAGCCAAGAAATTGAGCTGAAGGGAGTTTGCACTAGTAATCAAACAACGGACATATTTATAAAGACTTTAGCTACGGCCAAGTTTAAGACTTTTAGAGATGCTATTGGAGTAAGCTGATCGTAAGTATGCACTAAAGGGGAGTGTCAAAAGTTAGTGCTTACTTAGTCAATTTTTGTTCCTATTATTTGGGTCAAAATCAATTCAGTATCGGTAGGAGTTTCTACTGATTTGTTGGAGAAGTTTTAGCTAGTTTGTTATTTTTATTACTATAAATTCAGTATCGGATGTAGTTTTTTTGTGTGTCTCAAATAAAAGCAAGCGATTCATTTTTCAATTTCCCTTGCCTCTATTCTGCTTCTTCTTGCTCCTTTAGATTTTCTTACAGAGGTCCTCCTTAACGAAAGGATCTGAATGTTTCTATAATCAAATACTGAAGGTACAAACAGCCAGTCAGCCACTGAAAATTCAGTCCTCTAATTAAACAATGATCTTCCCTTTGATCACCACTATCTAGATTAAATATTAGGCAAATTAAATCCTACAAATTAAGTGTGGAATTATGGGATGGGAAGTTATTCTATAATTAAAATCATTAATTGGTTTGTATGAAATAATCGTAAAGAATTGAAATCAAATTTAAAAGTAAACCTTTTATAATGGAGCATATTTGCAAATCAAACGTGTGCTCTCCAATCATTAATTAATTAATTCTAATTGCAAAACTCATATTTTATGATTTTTAAACTTTTTTATAGTGTGTTTTAAATGTTATAAAATTTCAAAGCTACGACGTTATATATTTAAAATGCACAGATCCAATTTTATATAAGAATTAAAACATTCAAATTGCAGATAATTAACATTCGTTGCATGGCCTTCTAATTAATATGATTTAGGACAAGAACTGGAGCAAAATAATCAATGTGTACATGGTATAAACTCACCATGCATGATACAATTTACATGCATCATCATTGAAACATCGCTTGCACACAAAATAACTAGACATTTTACAAATCTAGTGAGAATTGCCGAAACTCCTACACTACTTTCGAATTTAAACAAAAAAATAATAATAATAGTAATAGAATAGCAATGTGATTTTTGGGTGCAGCAAATTAAAAGAGACTAACTCTTCACTTTTAATCCTTTTTTTTTTTTTTTTTGGTTTCTACTCAAGTTATAATTTCCTGCATGTACGTTGTAAATTTCTAGCATATAGAGAAGTAGCTTGAGCCAACCCATTATGCACGTATCGAACTTGTGGTCTAAACAGAATCACATTGAATTTTGATCATGGATTGGCCCATAACAACAACGACTAATCATCCATGTTTTTTTCTTCACCTATCATTTTCCACTCTATCGCATGACAGACACACTTGTGTCTCAGCATCTTAATAATTTTCAACGGTGTTGTTTAAACCACTTGCAGAAAAGAAGAATCTCAACTACGTAATGACAAGAACTAACAGCTGAACAACATTAATGAAGGAGAAAAAAAGAGGATCGAGAGGTCAATGATAAGGTCAACTATTCGGTCCAATGGTTAGGAATTTTGAGCTCTTACATATAGTTCTACCTATAATAGATAAAATTGTAGTACAGTGCCATTACTTGGTGATTGCTTTTATTCATTGTATTTTATGCCAAGTTGGCATCGTTTTGTGTTGCTTTTATTCATTGTTTTACCAAAAACATACTAATTTCCTCCTATCTAATAAAAAGAAACATTGAAATCTTCAATCTGGTAGGACTTACGTGGGATTTTTAGTTCTGCACAAAAGATAATAAATGTAATTACGTATTGGAGAAAGTAAAATGAGATCATTTGAATAGTTTTGAGTTTCTTATATGGTAAGTTGCTAACAAATTGTAGACAGGCTATAAAGACCGCATGTGTCCAAATCACTACAGGCTATATATGATGGCACCAAATTTTCCTAGTTTATATAGTTGTGTTATATCCCACCCAATTAAGTAAGAAAATAAGACTACATCGCTGCAAGGAGATCAAGAGAACTACTAAAAGAACCAAGGTAAGGATGTGCATGCATAGTTTACATGTTTTTGGGAACTTTATCCCTTTTGTCACTTCATTTTAAACTTGCTGATGAGTTGAGTTTTGTGATGCATATACAGTACTGGTAACTACTGGCTAGAGCCATGAAGATTGAAGAAGGAGCAACAGAAAACAAAGAGATTGACAGGGAGGAGATGGAGATGGTACCACAAGATGAATCAGAAGGGTCGAGGAGACATCAACCATGGACAAAGCAAATCACAGTAAGAGGAGTCATAGTAAGCATTCTTATTGGAGCCATCTACAGTGTGATAGTTATGAAGCTAAACCTCACAACAGGGCTAGCTCCAAACTTTAATGTCTCTGCTGCACTTCTTGCCTTTGTCTTTGTTCGATCCTGGACAAAAATGCTTCAAAAGGCAGGCTTAGTGGTCAAACCCTTTACTCGGCAAGAGAACACAATGATACAAACTTGTGCTGTTGCATGCTATAGCTTAGCACATGGAGGTTGGAGGGTTTGATACTCTGATTGATTACCTTTGCAGAAGACAGTATTTTTCTTATTATTCTTGGCCAAGTTGAGGTTACTAACATTACTTTTCCAACTATTTTGGCAACAGGTGGTTTTGCTTCTTATCTTTTGGGATTAAACAAGAAGACATATGAGTTGTCAGGGGTGCATACTGAAGGAAATCGTTCAGCTGATATAAAGGAACCTGGATTTGGTTGGATGACTGGATACCTTTTCCTAGTTTGCTTTGTTGGTCTTTTTGTGTTGATTCCACTTAGAAAGGTATAAAAAGTGTCCATAATCTCTCCATTTTACTTTCCACATAGAATGGTTAAAAATTTGAGGGTGTCAAATTGTGGATTACCCACTAGCTAAGGTCCCAAGATCTTTATGCTTTCAGGAATCCTTTCTTACTGAAATATTCCTAAAGGTTCGGTTTGGCTTTCTGGGTTGCAGATTCTGATTGTAGACATGAATTTAACTTATCCAAGTGGCTTGGCAACTGCAGTTCTCATCAATGGTTTCCATAACCGAGGAGATAAGATGGCAAAGTATATTTTACAGTTTAAATTTTAGCAGATAACATCTCATTTGCTGTCTATAAAAACCAAACTCAGAAATAATATGACGAGTTATTATTACAGGAAACAAGTTCGTGGATTCATGAAGTACTTTTCAATCAGCTTCTTATGGGCATTTTTTCAGTGGTTTTACTCTGGGAGAGACGAATGTGGATTCTCACAATTCCCTACTTTTGGATTGAAAGCTTGGAAGAACACGTAGTTCCATTTGTTTCCTCCTAAATAAATTATCTTCTTCATTTATATATATTTTGTATGTTACTGACCATTTCTTTTTTGGTTTTGGGTGACTTGTAGATTTTTCTTTGATTTTAACACCACTTTGGTTGGAGCTGGAATGCTTGTTTCTCATCTAGTGAACTTGTCTTTGCTTCTTGGAGCTGTGCTCTCGTATGGGGTTATGTGGCCACTTATTGGTCAACGTAAGGGAGACTGGTTTCCAGCTTCTTTAGAAGAAACTAGCATGAAGAGTTTGTATGGTTACAAGGTCAGAAATAGAGGTAGCATATATGGTTTTTTGGCCATCTAAAATTTTATTGCTTCTTAATTTATGGCTATAATTTGACAGGTTTTCTTAGCAGTTGCTCTCATCCTAGGGGATGGGCTCTACAGTTTTGTTAAGATAATGGGTATTACGATGATCAATATTCATGGCAGGTTAAGGAATAAGAACCTCAATACAGGTGAATTTGGAGATCCTTTTATTATCTTCTGCAGCTCCTTTCCTGTTCTGTATATTAAAAGCTGCTAAGTAGATTGAAGCTTCAGTTGCAGTGTTGCACTCCTTGTTAACCGTATCTCTTTCGCAGCAGCTGTAGATCATCAGAAGAAGGACCTTGATGATCAAAAACTAAATGAATTGTTCCTCAGAGAGACAATACCTTTGTGGCTAGGAGTCATTGGATACGTAGTCTTCTCTATAATGTCAGTAATCGCGGTGCCAATCATATTCCCAGAGCTTAAGTGGTATTATGTTGTTGTCGCTTATGCGCTTGCTCCATCTTTGGCATTTTGCAATGCCTATGGAGCTGGTCTAACCGATATAAACATGGCGTATAATTATGGGAAAGTTGCGCTCTTTGTGCTAGCAGCGTTATCCGGGAGAGAAAATGGAGTGGTGGCAGCACTTGCTGGTTGTGGCCTTATTAAATCTGTTGTGTCTGTTGCTTGCATCCTGATGCAGGATTTCAAAACAGCGCAATTGACTTTCACCTCCCCGAGAGCAATGTTTTTGAGCCAGGTCATTGGGACCGCAATAGGGTGCGTGACAGCTCCGAGCAGTTTCTTCCTATTCTACAAGGCATTTGATGTCGGGAATCCATATGGAGAATTTAAAGCTCCTTATGCCCTAATTTACAGGAACATGGCAATTCTAGGTGTCGAGGGTTTCTCAGCTCTGCCCCAACATTGCTTGCAGCTCTGCTATGGCTTCTTTGCTTTTGCAATAGCAATTAACCTGGTGAGAGATTTTTCACCGCAGAAGGTCGGACAATGGATGCCACTTCCTATGGTCATGGGCGTGCCGTTTCTCATCGGTGCTTCCTTTGCAATAGATATGGGTATTGGAAGTTTGTTTGTTTTAATATGGCATAAACGAAACACCAAGAAGGCTGAGCTGATGGTTCCTGCTGTGGCCTCAGGATTAATCTGTGGAGAAGGGCTGTGGACTCTCCCTGAAGCTGTTCTTGCTATAGCCCAAATAAGGCCACCCATCTGCATGAAATTTGTAGCTTCCTAGAAAAACTTACTCCATAAGTACTACCGATAGGTTCGTTAACATGAAAGGATACTGTAAGTTCGAGAAAAAAATGTGAGACAGACTTTATCACCAAAATGGGAGTTAATAAGATTTCATTCCGCCAACTTCGACAGAAAAAGCCTTTAAAATGTCTTCTGTTTCATTTAATTTCCTCTCCTTTCCATACAGCAGATGGAAAGCAGGCCAATTAAAAGGCAACACCCATTCTCTATTTATACACTAGTAGATCAAAAGAAATGTGCGCGCGTTAGTGCAGGCGTGTGATGAAAGAAATACCTTTCTATGCATCAAACTATCCTACACAAAGGTGAAGTCGTAAATCAAACATGGAAATTGATCAGATCTCCAAATTTTGCCTCATTTTCTCTCTACCTTGCTGTTATAGGATGCAAATTACTGAATCAGGCAAAATATTGCACTCTATATTAGAAGTCTGTGAATCATGGTATGCTTTCATTCGTAAATCTGTGTGAATGTGCCATGATAGCTCCAATCCCAATTTTAAATTATTGCAATGTCATGAAAAAATGTAATAAACTGGGATCGTATTTCGAAACATTTTTTGTGCCAGTGTTAGAATTGAAAACAAAACACATGCCTAACATAAAACAATAAATCGAACTCATCTTCTATGTTCCGCATCAAAAGTCTCAAAAAGATCACTCACCTACCACACGAGACTCAAATGATGTACAGCAACTGATCAAGCAGAGAAAAATTTGCAAATATAATGCTATGACAAAAATTCTATCATATACAACTTATTTGAAGGACCAAATTCCAATTCCAATTTCAATACATGAATCATACATCTTCAAAAGAGGAAGATTGCATCGGTCATGCAAACAATGCACAACTGCAATCAGCTTGTTACGATACCTGCTAGGACCTCACTCTTGCCTCGTGCATAGATTGTGTACACCAGACGGATTGCATCAAGCCATCCATCCAAGGATTCCCACGAGTCAGCAACCTGATAAATGCGCAGAATTTAAACATGGGTTCTTGATGTGAAACAGTATAACTTCTATCCCAGTTTTTGGATAAAAGACCCTCAAAATGATAATGGTTTACTGAAGAATGGTAAAGGTAGAATAAAAATAAATAAATAAATAAAATTCTTTCATCTCCCTAATAATCTTGAATATACGCTGAAGAGGAAAAGAATTTTGAGAACAGCACCAACTTATAGCTCAGTCACCTAAACTCTATCCTGTCCTATTTTATAATTTTACCATGCAGATAATCCAACTGAGCTTGTATTCAAATATTAATTATCCGTTCCATGCACTGTAAATGTCAACAACATGATCACTCCACGGCTAAGATTAACTATTTTGAACTCTGAAAGCAAAGACAAAATCATTTGGGTGGAAATGCATGTTTCAAAAAAAAAAAAAAAAAATGGTGCTTACCAAGAAAAGTGGTCCATGAATCGTATCAATACAGAGGCCTGCACCAGGTGGCAGAGTCAGATCAGCACATGCTGATACAGAAACGATATCTGGAACCTCAACTTTGCAAGCCCTTTTGTCACTATTCGATGCATCTGATGCTCTACCAGAGAGGCTCTGGCGTACTTGATTTTGCTCTGATTTGCTAATCTGCTCAGGAAATGAAAAATGTATTTCAAGGAACTTAAGTTAGCAACACTACGGATAACCAACGTGGAAACTCTTCTTAATGAAATAAAGTACCAATTTTCACTTGTTAGTTTCTGATGGGTACGACAACTTAGATGCATTTAATTGGTTTTGGCATCCACAATTAGAAAACAAATTACATTTTACCTGTTGAAGCCCTTCATGATTCAAAACAAATTGTGATCTCTTCCAATCATTATGAGGTGCGATCAGTTTCCCCGCTGGTGGAGCAGTTAGATATCCAACTTTAAGATATGGTAAAGGTAACTGTCAAAAAATTGAAAAATGAGAGACATATGACAAGAAGTTCATTTTTTAGTCAAATTGCCTTACATTTAATCAGGGGAGCAATAAGAGGTCCCGTTGTGGACTAGAAATCAGGCAGAAAAGAGATTGCTTGCAATATGAAAATATCAGAGCAACCGCAACATAAGAATGTGGAGGTATTGATTGAATCCAAAATAATAGAACAAGAAGGTTGGATACAAAGTTCAGCTTTTTATGTGCCCATATTAACCAAAAACAGCAGCTTATGGGCCAAGCCACAAAGATTTGGATAACAATGCAAAATGAACTAGTAGATAATCCAAGGTTTAGGAAGTGATCAACCAATCAAAGACAATAACGGAATTCATGCAAGTCGCAAAGTCCCACCCCAATATCAAAAGTCCAAGAAAAGATAACAGAGACCTTAAGCCATAACTAACTACTGAGAAACAGATATCTACCACGAATTAGGCATTTTAGGATAATTAACAACCATAAGGCCAGAAAATGCAAAACTAACCATGGAACGCACGAGCCTCAATGCACTGCTGTATACCTGTAAAAGAATAAAGTAAAATTAGCTTTAAATTATAAAAACCCTTTGGCTAACTGAAATTATAATTCCGCAAAACATGGTTTTCATGGTGCAGAATTTAAACAAGCACTTCCAATCAGGCACAAGAAACTGATGGAGGGAAAAAATGAAAATATGCAATACTTGCCGAGTAATTTGGTTTTAATGCATGAGCAGCTGCAATGTAGATCGCAGACTGGCTATACAAGTCGTTAGGGGAAACATCTTTAGCATTGGCTGCTCCCCCGGTTCTTAATGTGTCCTCGGCTAGCCCGTACTGCCAAAAAATTACATTATGAGTTTAGGACTTCAACTCATGATTTGTGGGAGGATATGCAAAAACAGTCAATTATCTTGTTTTGACCAACAAATTAAATACAGCAAGAAAATAGATATAATCATAATAGAAACATGGTAGAGACGAGGATGGAAAAGATTAAACTAACCAAAACAGTTCCGAGGTTGTAGATTGCTCGATGGAAATCAAATTGCAACTGAATTGCTGCACGAAACTGCATTAGAAACAAGCAAAAGGGATCATAAGAACAGATGATACAGGTAGACCTATTCTTAGGACACATCACGAATCAAAATTACTTTGCTGCTTGTCCTATACATTCACCCAAGCATTCTAATACTTCAAATGATATTTTGTACCTTACTAATTGCAGTTCTCACAATTGTTTGCTTTTCTTTCACAGGAACAATTGCGCTGAGTTCCTAAAATTCAAAATACATTAAATAAAATACCCAACAAACCAGAACATCTGAAGGTATTAAAATTCAAAAGAAACAAAAGCTCTACAAAAGTTCTTGTTGGGAAAAAAAAAGTACATACAGTGTTGAATCAAGAGACATATAATTAACATAAAATACCTGCAGCGCAAGTCCCCAATTGTTAAGTGCCTGAAATGGATTTCATAAAAGGTAAGGTTAATATCAACATAAGGAAAAATTGTGGATTCTGGCTTCAGATGAAATGAAAAGGAACTTTTAAGAATTTCATAAAAAAATACCTGGGGACTGTTCCAGTTAAGTTGGACAGCTCTTTCGTAGTTTTTCGTTGCCTGCAAAAACAAAATATTGTAAATTTTACTTGTCTAAAAATACTTTCTTAGAGAAAAATATGAGCAGAGCTGCATGTAAATGAAGCCCATAGCAATAAGCAAATTACACATGCTTCTCAAGGTTAGGTGCAAAAAGAGAAAATGGAATCTGCATGAGGTCTAAGTGGCTCATTGCAAGTTATAAAGGCCACATACTCTGAACGATAAATATCATATTACATGATAGCAAGATTTAGTACAAGGGAAAGTGGATACAAACATGCATGTGTGCTTGTGCACACGTAACAGAAGAACCAACAGAAATGAATCCGTGAAACTATATTATATAGTCAACCTGCTTCCACAGTTCTTCAGCCTCCTTGGTACGACCACGCATTTTGGCCCGATCAGAGATTGCTATAGCCCAATTGTAAAAAGCCTGTGAGAAAAATAACATAAAACATTCACATGATTGAAATCATCAACACAGATCTTCCAAACCCACTATGGTGTGGAGGCTCATAAGCAATCAGAGAACTTGTCCATAGTGCATAATCCTAGCACATGGCCCTGATGGACACTCTTTTAGCACATGTATCTTACTCATTATAGGGTTCCTTCTTTCCCAGGAAAAGAAAAGCAGCTCAAATGAATAAACATTAAATATAATCCCTCGCAGGACCTCAAAAGCAACCAGCAAATTTTTTTCTTTCTTCAGTTTGTTATCTCACGTTTGCATCTCAGTAAGTCAGAATACTCATTATAACCTGATCTATAGACATTCGAAAAGATTATTTACCACAGGGTATTAAAACATACATCATTAAGCGTAGGGCAAAGATGGGTAGCCTCGTCATATTTTTTACAAGCCTCTTCTAGCAAATCATCTTTAGAAGGCGAAGTAGAATCCGGACTAACATTATCCGCACTTTCCTGCAACCAAGATGCCAATCACGTCAACACAAAAAATCAACCTATATGGTCATTAAAAAAAATCACAATATGCTTAAGGGTGATGCTAAATTCACTACAAAAATTTTATTCCCACTACTTTTTTAAAATGACTATGGTAACCTCTTCATGTCATTTTTAATGAAGAGGGTACATTAAGCTGGAATGCAATAAAAATTAATAAAAAAAAGGTACACTAGTCATTTTAAAAAATCTAGTGGTGGAAATAACAAAATAGTTAATGAATTTAGCACTACTACTTCATAGAAATTGTTTGCCTAACATAAGGACTTCCTTCCATAGCATTTTACTGCAAATACAATTCGTACGAACAAACGCAGTTGACTTTCATGCAAGAAGCATTTTCATTTTTCATACCTGAAGAACCAATGCCCAATTATATAATGCATCATAATCGTCTGGATTTCTCTCCAACGCACTTGCATACCTATAACAAAATTCGAAAAAAATCATTAATAAGGGATTTAAATCTCACAC